TCCCCGGGAGTGGCTGGCAACCCCTTGACCCCATCTCTACTGTGCGCAACAGCCGGCGGTGAGGCTGTAACCTGGCCTTGAGCCACAGCCTGCACCACACCACAACCACGGACACTGCCCGGAGCAGCTCCGGCAACGCTCCCCATCGCCCCGAACACTCACGCCCTGCGAGAAGCTGGCCGCGGCACAGCCACACCGGGGGCAGCTGCCTGCCCACGGGCTCACCCCACCTGCAAGAGGCGAGCGGGAGATGCTGCCCACAGCACTGCCGGCACGCCAGCTATTTTCTAGGTTGTTAGCGAAGGGCTAGATCTCTGCTGGCCCTCCCAGGGCTGAAGGAGAGGTACGACAAAGCAACCAGGCTCCTCTGCCCCGGGAGCAGCTGGAAGGCACGCGGCCGCCCTGCCAGCAAGCAACAGGCAGCGGCCAGCACACGGCAAACCGCTTTCCTGCAGGGCATCGGGTGTGACAGCACGCCGCAGACATCACCCTGGCACGCTGACGGCGCACCCCGTGACAGCTAAGCCTCCGGCCACCAAGTCAGGAGCATCACAGCCTCCCCTCGCCTCCTGCAAGCCAAGACTGCTCCCGTCGCAATCCACCACCTTTCCAGAGAGGAGGAGAGACCGGAGAGCGCATGCACCCAGCTCCAGAGTCCCCAGACTGCTGCACCGGAGCCCAAGGAGGGAAGCAGATACACTCGGGTCTGGCAGCTGCAGGGCAGAGCATCCAGCTGCCTATGTGCAAATTGTCTTCCAGGTCCTAAATCCACCCCTTGGGGCTTCCCTGTCCCGGCACTGCCGCCTGCCTGAGCACGGCTTCCTGCGCTGGTGCTAGCTCTCCTGGCTCCTCTTGGCTATCTGTCCAGGCTCTTCTGCTCATGTTGAAGCTGTGTGGCTGCCATGAACAGAAACCCCTTCTTCCTGCAGCCTGTTTCAGCCTATGCTATGGCTGGATCCTCCTCCCCAGCACGGTGTGCTACCTTCCTTGTACTAGAAGGAGCAGTCATGGGAAAGTAAGTCGGCTGGAAGTCAGCTCGGCCAAAATCAGCCACCCCACGAGACTCCAGCCACCCTGGGTCTCTGATGGAGGCAGGCAGGCAGCTCCCACAGGCAGGGAGCGGCAGGCAGGAGGTGAGAAGGCTGCAAGGGAGGACTCCCAGGGCAGCGCCCACGTAGGCAGTGACCCGAGTGCATGGACTTCTGAGAGCCAACCACCAGGAAAGCAGACTTTTGACAAGAGCCCTTCTCCAAAGAGTTCAGCTGATAGTCCCCAGAGGAGCACCCCTCACATCAGAGAGGGTAAGGACCACCAAGCCATGCCTACAGCTCCCTTTTACCGTCTTTGGGTCAGAGGCAGGCAGGATCCAAGCACGTCGGCTTTCTGAGATCTACATGGGAATCCACAAGATAAGATGCGTTATACCACAGTGGCTCTACGGACAGAGATGGGCAACGGCCTGTCCCCTCCCTCAGCAGTGTCACCACCAGGCACCGGCCAAGCTTCTGCCCAGAGCCCGCCTGCCAGGTACCGCGTGAAGGCCGATGGCTGTGGGGAGCGGGCGTCCCTGGGTGCTGCTGGGCACACTCACCTGGAACCGAGGGTCGGTGTCGCTCTCCCCGATCTGCTGCAGCAGCTCCCCGCTGGTCTGGCCAACGAGGCCAGCAGCCTGCAAGAGATTCTGGCGAGGCTGCAAGGAACGAGGTAAAATCAACATCAGGCTCATAAGCAAGCCCTGAAACCTCACCCGATGGCTCCCCTTTGTTTCCACCCTCCTCTCAGCTCCACAGCCCCTACTGTCTCCCACCTCAGCGCTGGCAGGCTGTGCTGTTTTCAGTAAGTCCGAGACGGCGCTTGCCAGGTTCTTGGCTGCCTGCAGAAGCTGCCGCCCATTGCCTCCCTCGTCCTCCATCAACGCGGCCAGCAGCTTCACGCCCTTGGACATCTCCGTCAGGTTGGAAGAGATGGTGGTGACGGCGCAGCCCACGGCAGTGTAGTCCGTGTCTGCTGGATCCCCTGCACAGGGAGGAGACGAGTCAGGATGGGACGCGCTTGAGGTGATGCTCCAAGGGCATCTTCCACACCTGTCACCAGTGTGGTTCTTCCTGAGAGTGGAGGGAGACCCCCAACTCCTAAGCCTGAAAGCTGGCCGCATCACCCAAGTTTGGGCAGGAGAGCCTGGGGAAGGAGAGCTGCACTGTGCCATGGCTGTGCGTGGAGCTATGGCAACGACCAGACAACACGTTCCTGGTCCAGAGGATGGCAGGTCAGCCCAGGCCCAGGAGAAAGGACTGGGCTGGGCACAGGCAGGGATGCTGGGGCATCTAAAGGCGGGGCAAGCTGCCAGGGCACAGCTGGCTCTACAGGCACATTAGCAGCAGTCAGGGCTGATTTAGCTCCAGCTGGGGAAGGCTGGTTCCTCCTGACAGAGGGCAGGAGATACAACCTTCCACCAGACAACAGAGACCAAGCCTTCTCCAGAGATGGGGCATCTCTCTTCTCCAGCCCTCCAGGTACCTGCAGTGAGGTTGACCACAGAAGCTGTGCCGGCAGTGATAGCATCCACTTGGGAGTGGATCTCATGCTTCGACTCATCCATCTTGTTTTTGCGCCAAGCTTTGGATGCCTGAAATGTGGAGAAGAGGGTCAGGAGAAGGTGGTGGACGTGGTGGGTGGCTGCACCCATGCTCACACAGACAGATACAGGAAAGAGGAGACAAGGAAGAAGGAAGCAAGAGCTGTGACTACCCAAAACTCCCCAGCCCGTCCTGACCAAGCAGCATGACCCAGTGCCCCCTCCACTCCTGCCACCAGAGTGGGATACCACCCCGGCTCTTTGCAGGCAGCAGATCTTCCCAGGTGCTGCGTGTCCCATCTCTCCTGGGAATGCAGCCAGCCTCACCCAGCCCAGCCAACACCCTCCAGAGAGGTCCCCTGTCAGCACCCCCTCTTCACCCAGCACTCACAGCATCTTGCCCAAGGGGCGGCAAGGTCTCGAAGTCATCCAGCGTGGCCTGGGCTGCATGCACAGCCTGCATGCTGGAGTTGATGGTGCCGGTCAGGGCTTGCTGGGCTGAAGTCTGCAACACAGGGACAGACTGAGGTACGCCGGGGCCTGGAAATCTAAGCTTACATATTCAGCTCACATTCCCCCCCCTGCAATGTGGTGTAATATGCTGATGATGACAGCGCTCTAGGAAGGCACCTCCAAATGTGGGGTGCGCATAGCAAAAAGGGGCTCTCCCCTCTGCACCTCCAACTGGGAGATGCCTCGTCCCACCATGGGTACAAGCAAGTCTCAGAGTTAACCAGCTCTCGGGGAGGAGATGCGGTGGGACTCCACAAGGCTTTTACAGCAAGCCCCACTGTAGGCTGAGTGGGGCCAAAGAAAACAGCCTCTTCATGGCCTTTTCCAAGTGCTTCTCCAGCTGCAAAGGACATGGCAGGGCACCAAAGCCAGGGACAGGGCTCTGCTGCAAACCACAGCACTGGTGGGGCTGGCCAGGCACCGCAGCTCAGGGCAGCTCAACCTGAAGGAGACGATGCAGCCACCAGGCAGGGGAAAACGCCAGCTCAGCCGGGCCAGCGCGCACGCAACGCCAGCGGCACAGAGCCCCAGCTCTTTTCAGCAAGCCAACGCCTCACCACAGACCCAAACAGATGGGTCTACACGAGCCCCGTGGGCACCTTTCAGGGTTTGTGCCTTAGGGTGGGCATGGGGAGAGCTTACCAGCGGAGGCATGTGCCCTCGGTGCATCTGGCCACTGGTGATTTGCAGCTGAGGCTGTGGCATCGTGCCCACCTGGAAGTTTTCTGGCCCTCCAGCCCCTGTCCGCATGATGGCTGGCAGGGCCACAGAGCCCAGCTCTGCCTTGCCTACGCGGTTAAACTGCTGCTGCAAGACAGTCGACCTGAAATGGGGAGAAATACCAGGTCATTGGATGACCACAGCCCTGGCACCAGCCACCGAAGGACTGGCAGCTCTTCCTCCAGACAAGCTGTGCTGCAATGCTGCAAGCTTGGCCGGAGCCTGCTCTCCATTCAACTTCTGCTTGGCAGCTGACTTTCTCCTGGAGGACTCACTTCTTCGGTGACACGGAGTCCTCCAGCATGGAAAGAGAAAACGTGTCAGCCAGCACACACCTCCCAGCCCTCCCCTCCTCCTGCAGCCCAGGCACCATATGGGGGCCACAAGGTCCCCTTGCCCCATCTCCAGCAGCACCATGTGCCTCTCATCCAGAGAGGAGCCGGTTATCGGTGCCCTTCTCAGCACAGCCTCACCTTTTTGAGGATGATGTCGATGTAGCCAGCAATCAGCTGGGCAATCTGCTCCCCCTCTGTCGTCTGCACCGAGTAGTAACCATCCTGGTAATCTCCAAAATCCTGCAACGGCAGGGCACAGGGTAGCACCGGAGCAGGGCACTGGCGGCCATCCTGAGCCCCTCTGGTATGCGCTAAGCGCCCAAGCGCCAGCCTCCAAAACAGCAGCCAGGAGAGGCACCAGAGGAGGGCAAGGCTGTCCCACCACACAGCAATACCCAAGAGTGGGCTGGTGTGAGAGCAGCCCTCCACAGGGGCACCACCAGGGAAGTGGTGTGGAGGACCAGGGCCGGTTCCTACCAAAGTGAAGCTCTTGGGAGAGGCTGCCCAGCGCTTGATGTTGGTCAGGCTCCACTCCTGAATCACTTCCTTGGTTTTCTCGTCCACGCGCATCACGCACTCCTTGGTGATCCCCAGCAGACGCGGCACCAGCTTGTTCTTCCCCTTCATCTTCTCCTGCGGGTCACAAAAGAAGGGTTGTGGGCTGCCCTTGGGACAGATCCATCCAGGCAGAGACCTTTACAGGCTCCCTTGGCTACCAAGGACACCCAAGGCCATGCTTTCAGGTGGTGACAATCACAACACAGGGCTTGAAAACAGCAGAAGAAAAGCAAGGAGTGGTAAGGCAACACACGTGGAAAGCCGAGAAAAAGGAGAGTGGGGATGCAGGGAAAATTGGAGCAATGTGGGCTGAGGGGTAGCAGCTGGATGGAGACACAACAGATGGAGAGATGCTGAAGAGGAGTTTCGGCCATGGGAGCTGCTGCTTTACCTTGACCAGGAAGAAGGAGACCCCGTAGGTCTTGAGGGAACGGGCAAGCTTCACGTAGCGAACTTTGGCCTCGATCTCGCTCATGTTCCCGCAGTTCTTGTGGGCCTGTGACAGCAAAGACAGAACATCACGCTAGCTCCATGGTCCCCTGGCTGTGTCACCACTGCCCTGCCACAGCCTTGCCAGGCTCTCCTCACCCCGCTGGCATCCCCTGCCCCTGCTACAGCATCCCTGTGACATCCAGGACCTCAGGAGCCGCCTCGTCTGCCCACCTACAGCTCGCTGCTCCTGTTTCTCACCCGCCAAGCTGCTATGCGTTGCTTCCAGAGACAAGAGCAGCCTCAACTTTTGGCGTGGAGGAACAAGTCCAGGTCTCAACTCCCACCCTTGCACTTACCATGAAGATCTTGCGCTCCCCTTTCTGCTTGATGTACTCCTTGGGCAGGAAATCCTTGAGTCTGCCAACAGACAGCGAACCCAGCTGTTAGCAGCAGAGCCCGAAGCCAGTGTTTGTCTTCAACTACAAAGAGCCCCAACCCAGAGCCTCGAACAAAACGCCTGCCAGGGCACGGGCTGGGAGTTTTTGGGAGCAGGAAGGATGTGGGAGAGGTTGCTGCAGTAATGAAAGCTGCCCTGCTGAAAGTGGGGTGGAGGTCCTGAGGATGCAGCCCCTCGCACGGCACCAGGGGAGGCCGTATGGTGGGCAGGGGTCCCCCCCATCAGAGCTGGCTGCGGGGTGCCAGATGAAGCAGGATGGGGGTCTGGCACCCCTTGCAGCTGGTGTGGGCCTCCACACTTGGGCACTGAGGTGCAGGGAGGAGAGGGGTTGCGCCAGAGGCAGCAGCACCCTCGGAGTGTGCCGGTGCGGTGCTGGGGGCTGTCAAGCTACTGGAGCCACCTGGGGCTCCTCAGGACACTCACTCCAGAAAGCCTGGCTTGTGCTTCTGTTCGTTGTGTGGCCCGAACTGGATCTGGCACTGGTAGCCAGCAAACTCGCAGGCTTTGTCGAAGGAGACAGGGTGGGAACCATTGAGAATGTCGTCGCGAGCCTGCATGGAAAGAGAAGTCACCGCCGTGGGCTGGGCAGCCATGCAGCCCTGCCACTGCTCCCCTCCGCACCGGGTAGGACCTGTATTCCAGACAGAAAAGAAGTGGCCATGAAAAAGAGGAGCATCTAGGGACAGGCTGTCCCCGACAGGGACCATTGCCGTGCCTGGGAGAGGAACAGCAGCAGGACTTCAGGATGGTTCCTACCAGCTAAAAGAGACAGGGGATCCCCCAAGGAGCTCTGGAGTTTGCAGAGGGCAGGAATGGATTTCCAGCATTGGCTCTCACCCAGGGGGTAACCAGGCATCCTGACGTGCCCCCCGTGGTGGCTCCTGGCCAAAACCCTCAGCCACCAGCCCTGGCAGGGTGCTGGCACAGGGCAGCGGAGCTAGGTGCTCCAGGGAGCTGTACCTGCACATAGAGCAAGTTGAGCTGCACAGGATCTCGCGAGTCCACGTTCTGGTCGGAGTAGAAGAACTTGCGCCGCAGCAGCAGTGTTTCGTTGTCGTCAATGCCTTGCTCGCGCAGGGTCCGGCCGTGGTCCAGCCAATTCACTGGAGGCAATGACAGGGTGTGAGCAGGGACGGGCACCCAGGCAGGGTCGGTCCCGGCCCCAGGGCTGCTCACGTGGAGCAAGAAACGGATATCTGTCTGGTGGATCCCAGCTCTCACCCCTCGTCCCTGGGCCTCCAGGCAGGAGACACTCCAGGCAGTGTGGGCACATGCTGCCTTGTCACTGTCCTCTCTGCCTCACTGTACTGGCTCTGCTCCTTGCAGGGGTCTCTGCTTCCCTCCCTGCTGCCCTCGGCACGGGCTGACCCCAACCCCAGTACGCGCAGGGACATACACTCGTCATCCGTGTGCAACTTCTGCTTGAGCTTCTCCATCTTCTTCTCATCTCGCAGAAGGGTCTTGTCCTTCTTGAGGGTGCCAGTAACCTCCTCCTTCTTCTCTTCCATAATCTCCCGAACAAGTGAGTACTCATCATAGTTGGTGATGCCTGCAGGAGAGCAGAAGACCAAGCTCAGCGCGACACTGCTGCCAAACACAGAGTTTGGAGCAATGAAGGGGTGCACAGCAGCATCCCCTCCCTGGCGTCACGCACCCCTTGGACATCCCCACTGTCAGGCCATCCACTGCAGAGCTGCTGCCACTCCCCCAGCACCCTCCATCAGACGCTGCCATCTCACCCCACCTCCCTTCCTCCCCACTGTTGCCACCCCCTCCTCTCACCGATCCGGGCACAGATTGTCATGAGCATGTCCGTGACAGTTTTGGAGTCATCCACCATCACTGTTTTCACTGTCCCATCCAGCATGCGGATCTTTAGGGGCCGCTGCTTCTTCTTGTACTCCATGGTGTCCTGTGGGCACAGCAGAGCACAGCTCGCAGCAGCGGCACCGGCCCGTGTCCCACAACCACACCAACAGCTCCCGTCTCCTCAGGTATGCCCAGGCGCGACGCACGGCAGCAGGGCAGGCACCTGCAGCACCTCTCCAGCATGGGCACACGCGAGGTACGTGGCAAGGCAGGTACTAGCTGGAAAAATGTGGGATGGATGCTTACCCCATTGCGAAGCATGTAGTAGTCCAGAGCCTTCCCAGCCTCCAGCCAGATCCCTTTCTTCGGGTCTTCATCCGAGAGGAACAGCCCAAAATCATTGGCTGAAAAACAGGTAAAGTCTCTCTGCCAGGGTAATCTTGAGTAGAATAAGGTCACAGGGACGCCAGCCTGCACCCAGAGATGTGCATCGGCACAGCTCAATGCGTGAAGCACAGCAGCACCATAAATGCTGGAGCCTAAACCGAATGAGTGGTCAAAGACCTGGCAAGCAAGCTTGAGGGTGCATGTTTTACCACAGTTATCTGCGGAAAAAATCATCTGAAGCACGCCTACGCATTGCTGAACTTGGAACTGACAGTCACAACAGAAGGAAAAGCTTGGAGCCGTGGTTGACAGCTCTCTGAAATCTTCGGTGCAACATGCAGCAGCAGCCAAAGCAAGGTAGTAAAATGCTGGGCATCACCAGGAAGGGTGGTGGGAACTGGTCTATAAAACCTAGGCACATCCACACTTCGAGTACTCTGTGGTGGTACGGTCTGCACCTCCCCAGAAGTATGTGGCGGAGTTTGAAAACATACAGAGACAGCCAACTTAAATGATGGGGCCTTGGTATGAGGGACTAAAGGAGCTGGGACTCCTTCGTTTGGGGAGGAGAAGGCTGAAGAAGGATGGGATCAGGCTTATTAGGTGTCAGAGGTGGTGAATTAGTTCTGTTGCCCAAATCACGTTCCCTCAGGGCTGGGGTACCTGGTGAAAGTGCTGCTGCTGGAGCCAGGGCAGTGGCATCCCAGCTCAGACCCACACGGATAGCCCCATTCTCCCGCTGCAAGAGGCCAGGACCACACCTGGCTTTGCCCTGGGAAAGGTCTTTCTCCGCCTTTCCAGCAACCCCATGCCGCAGGCTGTCTTGGCTTGCTATGTTTATAATGCGTCATCTCGTTGGCAGCTCTCTGCGGGGAGGGACAAATTCCTGAGCCGCCCCACTCCTGCTTGGCTAACAATGCCGTTAGGATCCTACTAAATAGGGAGCAGAAAAGTCACAGAGGCTTGACATTTTGTTCTTAAATTAAAAAAGTCCAACCTATTTTCAAAGCAAATTTCAAGAGGATAACTCTAAAGCACTGAAAACTGAGCAGTTTGCCCCAGATCCATAACGTGGGCAGCGAGGGGCGCTTCCTGAGAGAGAGTAAGAGCAGAGCTGGAAACCTACGCTGAAGCTCCCCCAGCCCAAAGGCGACAAAAAACACAGGGCAGCTCAAAAAGACACCCCGAACTGCCACTGGGTGAGAAGAGTAAAAAGAAACAAAAGCTGCAAGGAACTGATAGGAAAATAAAAACTGTGAGCAACTGAAAAGGAACTCAGGAATAAGCAGTTCCCTTTAAGGCTTTCCCCTTGCTTTTTTTTTTTTTTTTTTTTAAATGAACAGGATGGCCCTTGCCCCAGA